ACTGCAGCAGCAACACAGTCCGGCAAGGGGCAAGCGGGGCCACAATTCAAAACAAAACTTCGTATCCTACCGCTGCTACTGCCTCTTCTTCTGCTCATCTTTCACCATCACTACAGCAACAATCGCCATCTTCATCATGTTCTTCACCCTCATCCGCTCCTCCCACGCCATTCAACCCCCACGAGCAGCGCCCCCTGGAGGATTCAGATATGGAGATGGAGGAGGTTCCAGAGGGGCTTGAGCTTCCAACCCTGCCCCAGGTAAGGACTTTCAATGTGTGTTAGCTTCAGGGTCTTCTGTGCTTCGTATTTCCCCAAGTCAAGTGTAATCACAATGAAAGGCCAGAAAGATGCACTGTGTAACATCTCTTATAGGACGTCTGAGCAGCTGGAATGTTCCACAGTATGGCATACAACATTTCCATCTAGCATTTATTCACCTGTAGGTGGATTTATTAATCAAAAAAACCCTGAAAATCATGCCTTCTTATTGCAGGCAGGCTTGTCTCTCCACAGACCTGACCTGTAACTTGACAAGTTGCTTCTTTACATGGAGATTGGCAAGTTTAATGCCGTATTGGGGAACATTCTTATCAAAGCACCAAGCAAATTATCTAAGAATTTAATTTAACCTCTTCTTGAACTAGTGTATAACTCTTCAACATGTCTTTAATTACAGTCAGGCTAAAGACAAGGAAGATTTTTATAGATGTTGAAATGCCTTATTAGATTTGCATAATATGTGTCTTTTATTATTATTTTATTGTTATTATTTTTGCATGCATACTCATCACTTATCGCATTTACTTCTGCTGTGTTTATTGCATGTTATCTCTTTGGTTTGTTCCATTCATGTTTCTCCTTTGGATTTTTTTTCTTCTTCTTTTCAGGTCTCCATTTTAAGCCTTTGTCTCTTTTCTTACAAACAGTGTATTAATAAAAGTAACCCTCTCACATTCACATGAAGCAAAAAGCATTAAGCAGTAATGTCATTTGTAGTGCTAACATTCACTATGGCATATCCAGTCACAATGGCCGAGATGGCAGATAGTGAGGTGGGGTGGGGAGGGGCAGAATCAATATGAGTAGACAATGAGAGGTTTGCACTCACACTTCAGGAAATTGTTTTTTTTTTTTTTTTTCCTCTCGCTATGTATTTTAGTATTTTAGTGTAGAGGTGGCAGACGGTGTGCACTGGAGTTTAGTGGCATGTGTAAAAGCAGTATTTGTGAGGGTGAACATTTAGGTCCATCCTCTCCTGTCTGTGCGGACAAGCCATCTGCTGCCCAGTGCATGTTGTCCTGTTCTGAGAGAGGAGCAGGAGGAGGCCAGAGGAAAAGGAGGGGACGGGATGGGCTTAAGGAGCTCTCTTAGATGGGATAGACTTTAGAAGAGAGAGTAGGCTAACAGAAGGGTGATTAGTGAAGTATTTTAACTAATGTCTAATATTTCAGTCTATCACACTTTTCTGTTTCCCTGTCTTATTCTATCATTCATGACTATACCTTTTCTAGACCTGTCCTTAGCACATTTTTTTTGCATGTCCATACAGTTGTATACACAGTAGGGTGTCAGGGGGCCTGATGCATGCGATGTGTGTGTTTGCAGAACAATGAAAAATCCCAAGACATAGAGAAGGAGAACTGCTCAGGTACACTTCATGTGTCACTTTCACAGTCTTCTTGTGCATTTGTGCTCAGTCTGTTCTCTGGGCTCTGACACTGTTGCTTCTGTTTGGTCTCTACAGCTCTGGACACTGACCAGTGTCTGGTGGAGAGGGATCAGATGGCAGAGGGGAGCACTGGCACTGGGACCAAAGGATTGGAGCAGTATGTGGAGGGTGCACCAGGGGGCGACAGAGTGCTGCCAGACCCTGGTGTGTGGCCTGAGAAGGGCATAGCCTGCACCCTGTGCAAGCGGCTGTTGTTCAGCCTGGAGCAGCTGCGGGAGCACGAGTACCACCACACCCTGTCGCTCATGGCCCTGTCTCTGGACTGGCCCTGTCAGACCTCACAGACCGCCCAGCCTGCCCTGCCCTCTCAGGCCCTGCCTCTACAGCAGAGCCTGTACAGACCTGCTCTGTCTGATTCTGCTCCAACACGATACTTCTGCACCCAGTGTCCCGCCAGCTTTACCCTCAAATCCAACGCCGACCGCCATGAGAAGACCATTCACATGAAGAAGAAGCTGATGCAGTGTGTGTACTGTCTGAAACACTTCAGGGACCGCACAGACCTGCACAGGCACCTGTCCTCCGTGCACTCCCGAGAGAGGGAGCACCCCTGTCACACCTGCCACAAGACATTCAGCACCCAGAAGAACCTGGCCACGCATGTCAAAGTGTGCTGCCAGACAGGGCCCCTAAAAGGGGCCATAGCAGGGGCCAAAAACACAGACCTGAGTCAGGGGGAAGCAGACACTCTGTGGTGGATCAGGGGGTTCAGCTAAAGCAGAGCCATTCAAAACTGTACTGCTCAATGGAATTCAACTTGTCAAATGTTGAAATCCACTGAACAAACTGTTACTATGCAAAACCAATATTCAAAGTCTGGGCTGAATGAGCCCATGTGCAGGTGCTGAGTCTGTAGGATGTGTTTTCCTGCTGTCTCATCAAACCAAACCACTCTGTGTCTGACTGTGTCGCCAGTCACCAGTCTGACTAACCTCTCCTTTTAAGGTAGACAGATCTTTATCTGTGCACAACCCTGCATTAAGGGCCCTTAAACCACTTTTACATACTACTCTAGAACTCACCTCTCACACAACCACTCCACCCTCAGGAATTAAATGGTATTGCAAGATGGAGAAGCAAAAAGAAAAAAGCAATAATACCCAAAGTGTTAGAAATGTAGAATGTCTGTACAATATTATATTCAGAGGACAGTTTCACAATCAATCTAACATTACGTATTCAGAGCATGAATGGGCCTGCCCTGAGTGGTCAGTATGTCTTGATTACGCCCACTGTCAGATGAGTGCAGATGGAGGGGTCGTGGACACAAAGCTAAAACAATAGACCAGTGTCCTGCTCCTGTCATGGGGGTTGGGTGTCTCTGACTCTGTCTCTACACATCTGTGGGTTTCATAGTGTTTAGGAGTGATTACAACCAAATGAGAACTGGTTCTTCATAGCTCCAAACTGCCTTTAACCTCATTTCATTATGTGGAAGAGGGATAAGAGGTTGCAGGAACTTATTTTGTTTAGCTTCATACATTACACAATTCACCTACTACCTACTACCACACCCTTTTGTATGAATGATTCAAACTGATGTAACTATGGTGTGGATACGATGAATACCCGAGGCTCCATCAGAGTGGGCATAAAAACTGGCTGTCGAATCATTGCTAATGTAAATTCACACTGATCTCTGCCAAACTCTCTCTCACTAAGTTTACAGCAGACTCCAGTCTGCGGCATTCCAAAACAAAATATCATCTTTTCTCACTTTGTTCTTATTGTTTAGAAACTCCCAAAAGAAATACTACATCCTTCATGTACCTCGTATTTCATCATACAATATGTTTTGCTTATATTTATTCTCTAAATCAGTGTTAGTGTCTGTTGGGAGTCTGTAACAAAGAGGTCTTGATGCCAAATCATTTGTGAAAGTATCCTCAGGTAGCACACTTTGTTCTGGGCAGCTTAAATGGACTGGAGTCAGAGTACAAATAATACCAGCCATGGAATACAAAATCTCACTGAACTGTTTTTCTACTGTTTTAATTGTAAATGTTGTGCATTTTTAATAGTATTGTAAATTGATTATAGCTTATATTAAACATGATTAAAATTTCCAAAGCATATTGTCATTTCTTTCCAATTATACCTTTTATTGGTGCAATGTTTTGTCTGGTGTTTTGTACTTGCATGCTTTCTGTTGCGGTCGAGTGTTTAATGGCAGTCGATTTGCAAATGGAGGTAATTATATTGTAGCACTTACACCCCTGTATTGTGCCTGACCCCTCCTCCCTGGATCTGTTTTTCTATTGTGTGTAAATCCAGATCTCTCTCTTCTTAATATACCTCTTTAGTGATTTTTCCTCAACTATCAGCCATTTGAAAAACCTCTATCTAGAGCTAGAGTAGTGGTTCTCAAACAGTGGTGCAGGTACTATCGGTGGAACTGAGGCTTTAATCATTCCCTGAAATCCCAGTTGAGTTCTGAGCTTGACATAGACTCTAATTTTGCTTTCTGGTTTTGACTTTGTTTGTCCTGAATGTTTTGTGTCTTTACCAGGCATAAAATTATTGTTACGTTTTGGTTTAGTTTTTAGTCCTGGTTTTGTTCTGCTTGTACTTCATTTCATGCAATCCTGATTTACTGGTTTAGCCCTGGACTTGTCCTGGTTTAGGCTCCCTTCAGTCTGTGGAACAAGCTGCTCGCAAAGCCAAATATTGTCTAAAGTGTTACTTGTGTGAAAACTTTGAGAACCACTGCACTAGATAGAAACAGTTATCAAAATCCTTGTGTTTTATACCTTTGTTCATTCCCTTTTGTGAATAGACTGCTTCTCAGAGTCCATCCCTGTCCATAGCAGAGTCCCTCGTCGTTTTAGCACTGTGACTGTTGTATGGTGTTTATAGTATCTCTCTGCCATTATTGCTTTAGTATGAAAGGAGAGTGGTTGCCAGGGAAACTGTAGCTTCGGCTGGGATCGGTGTGACCATGGGAATTGATGGTACATTTCTTAGACCATTGCAGACACTAATTAAACTACTTTAATTAAACATAAAAGTGTACTTTGTACTCAAGGTATGTCAAAATAGCATTACCTAAATGGAAAGTGTTTTTTACACTATATGTAATATTTGTTTAAAATGTGATCAACAGATCTGTGTGTTTGATCAGAAATGGTGGTAAATTGATTTGTGTGTTCCATAAGAGACTGGGTGAAGTGTCCAAAATTGTAAGGGAGAATGTTGTTAAAAATGTTGTGAAAATTAACTACAGTTTGAATTCTAACATGTCTTGTCCTCTTTTCTCTCTATTCCCTCAGTGAACGACTTCACGGTGATCCGTAAAAAGTTCAAGTGCCCCTACTGCAGTTTCTCGGCTATGCACCAGTGCATCCTGAAGAGGCACATGCGCTCGCACACAGGAGAGAGGCCCTACCCCTGTGAGATCTGCGGCAAGAAGTTCACCAGAAGGGAGCACATGAAGAGACACACACTGGTGAGTCTGAGGCCACTAGGGGGCACTGGAGAAACATTCTACAATTTGAACAAATGTTATACTGATAGTGTCTTCTAAATATAATATAAATAAATGATAATGATAATTTGTCATTTTCAATTCAAAGTGAAAATAATTGGTAGATTTATATTGTATTATTATGTTACATTTTAGTGTGACATTACAGTTTTCAACCTATACAACACTACACAAAAGTAGCATTTCTTCTTACAAGATCCTACACCAAAGTACATGGTTTTCCTGACAGAGGATTGGCTGTAGACCTTTCCATTACAAGAGACACCTTCATGATTAGAATCTCAATCTCTGTTATCATACTATTATCTGCACAGCCCTATTGCAAATACTTTTTGTTACTAGAGAGGGACAAATACCATCAAGGTTTCATAAAATAATTGAATTACATTATCATTGTCATGTTGTAATTTCATTTTCATTCTGATCTATATATTTACTCTGTACATCTGCTCTGACAGGTCCACAGCAAAGACAAGAAGTACGTGTGCAAAGTGTGCAGCAGAGTCTTTATGTCCGCAGCCAGCGTCGGCATCAAACATGGTTCCCGTCGCCATGGCGTCTGTGCCGACTGCTCCGGACGGGGCATGGCCGCACTCTTGGACCATAATGGAGAGGTGGGTGGAGACATCTCACCGGAGGAGGAGCTGTATGCCGGCGACCGTTTCCAGGACGACCAGGCAGAGTGCGATGGAGACGCGGAGGAGGAGATGATGGCGGATGGGGAGATGATTGGGGAGACAGAGGAGGAGAAGTGGAAAGACTCAGGGATGAGAGATAAGACACAACGGGCACTGGACAATGAAAAGGAGGAGAGTGATTCCTCTGCGCAGGACGGGGAGCAGCAGAATGGGACAGACAGGGACTTCACCTGGATCTCCTAGGACCAGGTCTCCTTTGCCTTAGCTCCTGATGAAGATGCTCTGAAGATCTCCAGCAATCTGTGAGGCAGAATTACTCCTGCTCTCCTCTTGACCACTCGTCTTGCAGTGGAGCAGCCTCGCACTCAAAAGGAAATGTGTGAGGTGTGCGCCACAATGAACTCCAAACTTTTATGTGACATTTTGAGGCGATTTTGAAGACGGCGGCTCCAGCGGTGGCTTTTTCTGCTTACCTCCTTCACTCCTGATGCAGTGTTTTAGTGTCTGTTTTTGTTGCGGGTTCAGGCCAGGTTTCTTGCCTGCTTTGCTGTTCACAATCATAGTGGACTTAAAGCATCTACCTAGAGAGTCCGCTCTGTGTGGACCACTGGATGTAATGTTTTTTTTAAAAGTGAAGGGTCGAAATCTATTGCAAAGAGAAGTGTGTCTCAGCTGATGAGAGTCCTACTGCCACAGACTTGCACTTTAACTGACTCCACTTTTAGCCCTAAACCATGGTTTACATTTTTGATCTTTTATCAAATTGGTGACCGCACCTACCTTTAAGGATATGCTCATGTCCTCTTGACTGTTAACACAATGGAGAATCACTGAACCTTTGTGCAGATTGCTGTTTATATATAGCCTATGCCTTTCAGTGAGTTATTCCTCAATCTTTTCTCTTTAAAGTTCAATTGATCCATTCCAACAGAGACTGGAGCTGTACATAAGGTTTAGGAGGTTTCAAACCAGAATGACACAATGTGTGTGAGTCTGTGTGTGTTGGAGAGAGGCAGAGAGAGAATGTACCACACTTTTACTCAGAAGCTATTTAGATGAATGAGTCTGGTCCTGATTGGCACAAACAGGACAGGGGTAGATCTGGACTCTGTTCCAGTGTTTCTGACACTGGAGTTTGGACCTGAGAGCTCGCTCTCTCTCAAGGAGGTGCTGCCTTCCTTTCTTCCTTGTTCCTCAGTCATTGCGATTTCTAATCAGAATATGCAGATCACATGAAATCATTTTAATCATTTTAGTTCAAATTTTAAAGTAAAAAATATACAAATGCTTTGAAAGAGTTTAATATTAATTTGTTGAATCTATTTATTGGAGGCATTTGGTGAAGTCATTTGCTCCTCTCTCTGTCTGATGCAAGAATGTTGTGTGTGTGTATGTGTGTGTTGACAAAAGAGCTTATATTGTTTCCTTCAAATTATTTCCATGTTTTTGGCAAAAGTTAATGACAATTCAATGGAGACAGATGTCTTATTCTCATAAGATTATGATTACTGTTGTTAATGTATCTACTTATTATTAATAATTATTATTAAGTGCTGGATGCTAAGCTTTATCGTGTGTTCTTTTTGATATTTTATATCTTGTATAAGAAAAAGCTTTTATACTTTGCCTTGTTGTGGACAGCAAGCCATGGGCTTTTCTCAACCTTTTCTTGTGCCAGTTTACGCTTCTGTCGTATTTGCTTTCAAACCAAGGGAAACACACACTTCTCTGTTCGATATGGAGGACACATGTATTTAGCACATGCTTTGGCATCAGATGTACACTAACTGAGTACCAAAAACAATCTTCTTGTATACATGAAGTGCTTTCGTTAACAGTTCTGTGTATGCAGGTGCTTATTTATGTCGTGCTTTTTTTTTTTTTTTTTTTTTTTTTTTTTGTTTGTTTGTTTTTAGTTTAAGCTATTTTGTCACAGTTTTGCTAAGTGCACATTGTATGGTATTCTTGTGAAGATGAAGGGCTGCTTAAGGGCCAACACTCCTTTTGAGGACTGCATCAAGTAATTAGACTCACATTGTTTTCACTTTTCTCACTTAAAATCACTAAAGTATCAAGGCAGCACAGACAGAGCTATATTCCGCTAATGTTAAATCTCTGTGTTGTTCGGATGGCGTTACACAAAGGGAAAGGCCAGCTCTGCCCCACTGCACTCTGGGAAACATTCGGGTGCCATCGCTGGTACAATGTACAGTAAGCACATGTTGCCTCTGTGCTTCTGGAGCCATGAACTGCTCTTCATACTCCACCAGTTCCCCTCATGACTATTTAATTTTTATTTATTGTTCTTATGCCCTTATGTTAGTCACAAAATTATAAAAGAAGAAAAAATAATTAATGAATGTTCGGTGTGGAAGGATTCAAAGACAAATCCCAATGTTATGTTGTGGCCACAGAGAGACTTTTTTATGTATGTGTGTGGCCCTGCCCTTCTACACAGTTTGGGTCTTCTTCCTCATAGCGGGTTGTGCTTCAGGAAAATGTCTGCCATCAAAACTTTTGATATGTGCCTCAATTACATTCCACCCGTGAAAGTTGTATCATATCATTGTCCATTTCAAAATAAGACAAATCAGATGTTTTGTCCATCCATCATGTGTGGTCCTTGTGTTCCAATGCTCTTATTTTGAAATGCATGCACGTGTTGATTTTTGTCATACCAAAGTGATGTCTTCGTTCGGGCATCTGCGCGCGACCCTCTCATTCCACTCGATGCAAAACTGGAATCACTGGCTCTATCCACTGCAGATGAATTATGGGTATTTCTTAGATGTGTACAAATGGCAATCCTCATTTAGCCTGTATAGCTTGACTTTACACGTGCAAAATCATGAAGCCATAGATATGCGTATGTTGATATGAAACTATAAATTGGCGCTTTTTACGTTTAATTTTGTAATACTACGAGTGATGTGTGTAGACCTTTATATATATGGATTTATATTACTATCTTATTATTTATTTATTTTCTCGCTCAGTTTTCCTGATCTTTGATTTGGAAAAGGTCGCACTTGGTGTTTATTTTCATTGGGATTACTGTTCAATATTGACTTTATATTGATGATTACCTTAAACCTGTGTTTGTAACAAAATGTGTTAAATAATCAAGACTGTCCTGTTTTACTCCTGTTTTGTTTTGGGCAGATGAAGTGCTCTTGTGAAGACTTTTTTCTTTGGTTGTCAGTACTGATCATAAAAAAGAAAAAAAAGAAGAAAAAAAAAGAAAAAACATTTTTACAGTCAACTGCCTCCTAATGTTGGGGTCGGCCCAATCGCCACCGAAGCCTCTTTCGAACTTCATGTTTAGTGGAAACATTAGCTTGACTTTTATTTGCAAAAACCAATCAATCAATAAATTTTGAAATTGCTGCTGTAAAGAATTTATCGCTGTGTGCTCTCTTTGTTGGGGTAATCTGCTACGTCCAGTAGGGGGCATAATATATATTTTTTTCTTTCAGTGTGCAACAGGGCAGCTGTGGCTGTAACAATAGCTTCAAGTATGGAGTGAACTGTGCACCGTAAAGTGCTTTGGGAGTCTAGAATTATTATTACTACAGAATAGATGCAGATGCAGAACATTATTGAAAGGAGATAAAAGTGAACACATTTTTAAAGTACCTACACAAAGTTCTCCAGCTTTCACATTTTGAAGTATCTAATGGTCAATCACAGAAATGTCAAAAATAAATAAACTACCATCTTTTCAAACTGAGAATTAATATTTTCTTTTTTTTTTTTTCATTTATTATATATTGTTAATATAGCACAAGAGTACTTCTCCTTGTGCACTGCTGCACAGTACTGCCTTGTTTTTTCATATAACCTGAACCATAATCCTACCATTTAAATAGGTGGAAAATAGAGCTGACCCCCTGTAGAGCAGAGTAAAGGCAGACACAACACAAGCTCAGCGCATCTTCCATTCATGTTTATTTTTCTTTCTGTCACATTACATCACATAGATCACATTATCAAAATCATACGTGGTCATCCATCTTTCCAAGCTCTAGCTGTATACATAAGCTTGACATTCACACAAATATAGTCCTCCCAAAAGTGCTTTCTCTGCATGAGGATGCTGCTGATACGACGCCACACCAGAGAAACGGCCCCCTCTAGTGACCACGATCTTAGGCTGCACCCACCCCTCATGATAACCACCATTTGATTCAGCCTTGCATGTGAAAAAGGACATTTAACACAAAAAACCTTCAGTGTTCTGTCTCCTGGCATCAAAAATAATGAACAAGAAAAATTAGCAAATGCTAGACATGCAAAACAACCTCAAACACAACTCAACAGACAATAAAATCATTCAGAGAAGTCAATAAATCATTGATAAAACAAGAAAGCAAAAAGTCAGTTCTCACACCAGCCAGTGTAAGGCTAGGTACAAAAAATACAGGTCACATAAGACAAAAGATACAAGGAGGAGGAAGGATGGACAAATACAACTCCAATTAGGAAAATGTTGCGATACAGTGTAAAATGTATCAATATGTCAAATAATAACAGAACATTATTTGTATAGCACCACAAAATCAACACTTATGTTTCATGGTATGTGTTATAGAGATGTATATAAAGGGCCCATATTACACAATCTGATGTATGTTATAATGTTGTTTCCTCATCACAAACAGACCTGGAGTGGCATCTTATTTCAAACACACAAACCCTGCATATTTAGACTGAGCCCTTCTTTCACACAGAAAACATTGAACTTCATACACCTTTGCAAAAAACTACCCCTTCATGACATCAAAAGGTGGAACAGAGCATTTTGAGCTTTGGAGATGCAGACAGACTAATAATAAAGGATTACTCAAACGTGTGAATGAAACAAAACACAACTGCGGACATGTTTGCGACGAGGTAATAACTTTATAACAAGGCTAAAAGCTCACAGAAGTCAGTTTTGTGTAATACAGGACCTTCAGTTTGATATTTTGCACAACGCAACATTTTCAAACTTTGGAGTTGCAGCACAAAAGAAGGAGAGACTTGCAGAGCTGCCATTACATCGCATGATACACTTGATTTGGAAGCTTTGTCGCTGCTGGTTTAACACACACATCGGACATTCAACACAAGTAAGCAGCTATCATATTTGGGGAAGTCAAGGCGCTCTTTTTTAATATAATGCACATTTGAAGGGCTTTACATAGCTTAATATACTGGGTAAAAGGCTTGAGTGGGACCACAGTAAAGCTGGATAAAGATTACATCTAATTTGAGTGGAAGACGAAGAAAGAGTTGCAGCCTGTTGGAATGTTTCAGACAGGTTAAAGGTACACTGTGTAACTTTTTGGCTGGAGGTCTATCACCTTCTTGTTTCTATGGATATGTCAGTGCTCTGCTTAAAATGTTCCACAATATGTACATGTATTCAATTACAGGTGGTTTTATAGCTCAAAAATGTCTAGAAAAACATGTATTCTGACTGTGGGCGGGGTTGCCTCTCCACAGATCTGACCTGTAACTTGGTCTGGTTTGGTCTCCAGGAAGATACAAACGTTTAATGCAATACTGTTAAAAAAATCCAGGCAAAGCTATAACATCTCCATGGAGAAAAGCATTTGACGGACCTTCCAGCAGAAAAGTTACACAATGCACCTTTAAAGAAGATTTCGGTGGTACTGTCTATCCAAACATTTACATAAAAACGTCGAAAAACTATGATCACCACATGAAGCATATCTGAAAATATGACCACTTCAAACTATAGTCATGTTTATAGTCATGGAATATGGTAAACAGAAAATTCACTTTAGAATTGTAATAAAGATTTGACTTGAGGACATTCAGAAGGAATAAATTGCAGTAGTCTTTTTCTCCAGAGCTGTATACATGACAAATTTGGCAAGAAGAAATACAAAAAAACTGTTAAAAGTTGTTGCATTGCACAAGTCAGAAAATAAAGCAATACTGCATGGTTGGGGGACTGATATGAAGTGTGACGGCTTACAGATAAATCAAGACAACAGCCTACAAACAAACTAACCAGCAAAAAACATCAAAAATCATGACTTTTTTTTCATTGTGTAGATTTTACATTCAACTGGTTTTCTCCCCTTTGCCACTAAGCTACATCAGACATGTTATATTCACTATCGCTTCTTGCTTATAAAAAGAAAGAAAAAATATCTTGAACAATATTGTAGAAAAAAACGTTTCCTTTTCGAGATACAAGAAGAAACGAACAATAAATCAATAAAAAGCCTCACTGTTCTTTTTACGTTGCATATTTACAAGAAAGCCCTGACACTGCAAATCCATCCATATCATGTCACCACTGTGTCTTGTGCCTCTTTCTCCGCAAAACAATCATCTGATTCTCTTAACCCAAACCAATTGGATCACTGTCAAACAGAAAACATTGCAGGCAAGATATATTGATATACTAGCTTTAGTGCAACTTGTGAAAGGTGGAATAATGGCTAGTTATAGCATCTTCTGTTGTAATGAGCCAGACAATGTTAAGGGGTAGATTTGGCAAAGCAGAGATGCATTCACACAGTAACTTCCTCGGCATCCTTAAAAAGCTGAATTCAAACAAAAACAATACATAACTGGGTATCCTGCTTGTACCAAACATCTTTCCTGTACCACTGCTCAGATATACCATTCACTACTACTGTCAAGGGCTAAGACAGCCATCAACCAATAACGGAGACTTGTTATGGGGGAGTAATGAACAACAATCTACTTGAATCAAAGTTAATTGTACACAGAGCAACATAGTGCAATTTTGTAAGTAAGTCAGCTACTACTGTAGTCGTGTGTACTCATCATTATTGGCACTTTGTGAATTTGACCTGATGAGGCTTGGGACCCACTCAGAAGTGTAAAGCTTATATGGGACACAATAGAAGGCTTTCATCTATATAAAAGTACACAAACTGAATTAAGTAACTACCCATAACCCATGGTGTAACCTAAACAGTTTTGTAGCTAGTGTAAATGTGGTCAAGAGCCATTGAAAGAAGTAGTTGCAAAAGTCATTGTTCCCACTAACATTTTCTACGGCACACTACATACACTGCATACACTAGTAGTGCAGAATCATGGTTCCCATAAGTTAACCATTATGTAACCAATGTCTGTCTTTAAATCAAGTTCTTTCAGTATATATGGGTAGAAACCAATTTTACATTATATCTAAACTATATATAATCTGGACTACAGCATCTCTCTCTTTCAATGACTCTCGTGTGACCATGAAAAACAAGTGTTTCTATGACGACAGAAGTCATAAGCATCAGTCGGAGCTGTGCCTGTGTGTCTGTGTGTAGGAGATGTGACTCTGGTAATCTAGAAACGCAAGTAACAAGGGCTTAAGAAAAGGGGACAAGAGGGAGAGTGTACTTTCAGAAGGCTGGTCATAGGGCTGAGTCCTTCTGGGGAAAACACTGCATATATATTAAAAGGGAGCTCTATATCTAACCTTGCCATCCTAATATAATTGTTAACGTAATCTAAGACTGATAAAAAATCCAACTGCATTTAGGGAACAGTGAAAGTCTTTAACAAACTGAACTTTGAATTTTCCTTGAGCGTGTCTATCTCCCATGTTTGTCTTGTGTTTGGCCAGAACTAAATTATAAATTAACTGCAACAAAAAGATCTTTCTCAAACAAATCAAATAGGGGGAGAAAACTGACATGGTAGTTCACATATAACTGAACCCCTGCAACTTTGTAATGGTGAAAAGCAAACAAAGGCAGTGAGTGCAGTGGCAATACACATGATGACCAAATTCTTTAAGGTGCTTATAGTTAGGTACAGGCGTAAAGAGAGAGATGAACTCCAGTATATATATAATGCTGTGGGACAGGTGTTTTACATTGGCACAGGAGCTCACACCAAAATGTACTAACTATAACTGTGCTGGCATGTTGCATTTGGTTACCTAGCTGTCCCTTAAACAGTGACAATGGAAAAGCAGATGCTACAGAGAAAGAAATTAAGTGAAACCCTTGAGAGTTTTGATCCAACTCGAAACAGTAGCTTATATATAATGCTTTGTTTGAGAACAACATGCCAAAAGCTTAGTTGTTGTCTTGAATGTGGCTTGCCAAAAAAGGAATAAACTAGCCTCTTAATTGTTTCTTAAAAATTTAATTTTTCAAATTTATCAAAATTGTCTCAATGATATAAAAAGTCTTAAACCTGACAAAAAAATCCATTTCCTTTTTTTTTTAAGCAACCAATTGCATTTTAATGTTTGGAAAGGTGAACCCAGTCTGATCTGCAGTTTTCAGCTTTGCTGGAAGCCTCCCCTGTGTGTGAATGGAAGCGTCCACTGGGCTGTGTCCTGGAATGAGGAAGAGCTCATGTGGCAGAAGTTGGGGGGTTAGTCGGTGAATCTCTGACAGGCCTTTTTCCAGCGGCAGGCCGTGCACCACATGTCCTTCTTCTCCATGCCATACACCTTTCGACACTTCTTTGCCTCACCACGGGGTTTCCTAGGCAATGGTTCAGGGGACAATGTTAGGACACAAATATCCTAGATTGCCTTTTATAGCTATGAGTGTTTCTATTTGAATAAAGACTTTAATTGATCTCAGAGCATTATAACACAGGTTTATGTGTACAAATTTTAAAAGCCAAATGAATGAAACATAATGCTTTGGTTTCTACCTGGTTCCCGGTGTGGCTTTAGAAGCTGGTGTGACTAATGCGTGGCTTTTGGTAACAGCTGCGTGTGTGCTGGGGGCAGGCTGACGCTTCTCACCGGTGCTCACAGTTCGGACATGGTTCACAGGGCCCTGTAAAAGCAGGAATAGATCATAACACTGGAGCCATACAAATGTGACAGTGTCAGACTGTAATACAGTTTGAGTATGTTTATTTCTACACATACAAACATATACATTTCATGTAGAGAATGACTGATAAGCAGAGAGGTAGAAGAACACAGTTAATATCATGTGAGAGAAACCTAACTCACCGCGACACCTTTGAAAATGACCGGAGGGGACTGCCATGACACACTGATGCCATTGCTGCTCTCGGTTAAAGGGCCGGTGCCGTTAGTACTGCCTAACCCCGCCAGCTCAGGAACCACTGGGATACTGACCGGTGCAGTGGCCTGGATCATGGAGAAACGCCCCGACAAAATCAGGAAAGGACAGGGAGAAATAGAAATATACAGCCAAGTTAGTGGAGATTTCAATACCAGCAACAGTGCTGTGGAAAAATGTAGTATAGAAATAGAGATCAAAAAGCAATGCTTTTAAAAGAGTTCAATAATGAGGTATGGAAAGAATTAGTAATTGTGATAGATGGATCTTAAGAAGGGGTATTTTACTTCTATAGGGTACTAACTGATGACATCTGTACACATATTTAGATCACCATGTTACTTTTTATTGTTAAGAAAATGCTATATTTGCTGAACACAACATGTTTCAGCGTATTAACGGGTTTCTCGTTTGTTTTTGACAGGAAAGCCTAAAATACTCAAACATGCACGGATGACATCTAAAATCTCTTTGGGCATGTCTTTGATGAGAGAACAATGTTATAACATGGCAGACAGCTCAAAAAGTACATTTTGCATAATACCCCCTCTTTAACTAATCACTGTTTAGATCCAAGCCTGTTCAAACCTTAGAAATCTTAAAATCCAGGTATGTCTTTCTACAATAGTGCACATAGATTATTATGGCCTAACAACTGATTGTGTATACACACAACAGCATACATTACTTGAAGAAAATTAGAAGAAGATAAAATGGTGCAGTGAAAATCTTGTATGTTCATTATTTGTTGAACAACTTGTATAATTCAAAATGTCACAACTTCAAAAGAATTTTGACTCTTTTGGAACGGCATCCACAAATATTTGCAAAATGTTTTTTCCCTTGCCTTATTGCTATGCACTCCCACATCAATGTAGGAGTGATTGTGCCTGACCCGGACTGCTTTTTGGTGCATGAGAATGACTGCAAGAGAACTAAGTTTGAAAAATCTATATCGTTTGAGAAGGTTGTGTTGATTGCATAATAGCTTAAGTTGAATTGCTCTTAAGCTTATAAAAACATTTTTTGTGGGCTTCTGCTGGTGAGTGTTTTGGGAGTTGTCAAATTATAGTTTTCTACATATTACATAAAACTAGATTCTTTACTGTTTTACTGCTAATCTGGTTGTTGTTCTTTTATTAAACTGTGGAAATATAAATACAGTCATTGCAGCTTAAAGTCTAGACTATTATAAAATCCTGTTTTAGGCTGTTTTCTTGTTTTGGTTTTAGGCATGATCTAATCCTGGATTAGTTCTGTCTTACATTGTTGTGTCTTTAGGCAAGACACTTACCTAGAATGAATGTGGCATGTACATGCAAAAATGATGGTGGATGGAGAGACAGCCTTTATTGTATAGGTCTACCCCAGGGCAGCTGTAGTTACAGTAGTAGCTGTATTAGGAATGGAGTAAATTAATAATATAATAATAAGTATTTTTGAGTTTCTAAAAAACACTATAATTTATTATCCTAGTCTCAATTGTGCTTTAATATAATGTCCTTTCATTTGTGTCAGTGTGTTACCTGGTAGGCGTGGTCAGTGCGGATGTGGCAGAGGGTGGAGGGAGCTGATTGGCTGAGCAGTGTGGGGGTGTGGCTCTGAGACCCGTTCAAGCTGATGTGTTCCGAATGTGGGACGTCAAAGAGCGGTGAGGGGAAGACGGGGGGAGGAGCGACCGTGGTGGGGGATGTGGGCGTGAGGCTGGACAGGCCCTCTGTCAGACTGTCCATGTTCACCTCGATCTCTGAGTAGTAGAAGTCCTCCTCCCCGTCACTGTAGTCTGAGTCACTGTTACGTCTATGGGAAGGAAAAAACACACAGACGTTTACTAAAAGGGTTAAAACTACAAAAAAAAATACTAGCACAATAAAAGAAACAAGTCAATACACAAGACACTGACAAATAAGAAAAGACCGTTTTGTGTATTGTGCTAATTATTTGCTGTAAAATTGATGAATCTTCTGAAATGCACTTTATAGTCATTTATACTGATATATTATTCTCTCTCAAATGAAAACTAAGGAACTTTTTTTTTTATTAATTTAACTTAACTTAACTTTATTTATCCACCACCAGAGGGCAGTATGGTCGAGTATACAGCCTCAGCTACAGTTAGTCACGTCGGTGAGTGATTTCGCACTCTCTAAACAGCAACATGACAACTTTTCTTCTCACATACAACTGTAGTATTTTGTAATAATAATATGCATAATATAAGCAAATAGTAACAAAAAGGTCTGTTGGTTAGTGGTTGACAAGTAGAAGTGTATTGGCATAATCAATTGTCCAGCTTTATAAGATTAGTATATTTGTACACAATGGCTCTCAGAACAAACTACTGAAAAGATAAAGTTTAGTTTCCCGTTTATGAAGCAATATCCAAACAACTGTTGTGTGTCATACCCCAGATGCATGGTGCGGACATGTCTTTGGATCCCTGAGGAGGTGCTGAGGACTTTTTCACAGTTCTTCCACAAGCACTTGAACATCACCTTCATGGAGTTCTGCAACAAATTAAACTAAATCAATTCTTCATTCCATATCATTAATTTTTCTTAAAATACTGTAGGCTGTTTTGATCATCCGTAAAGCTTCAAGGGGGACAGCCTTTTGACAGTGGGCCAAACACTCCACCTCATTAGAACAGCAAAGCCATAAAAATAGAAACTCAATATGTGACCAGTGGAGATAGAGCCAGAGCAGTGGACAGGGACTGAACAATGAAACTGTACCCTCATCTGTCTCCTTGAGTACTTTCACATCGGTGACAGATTGATGAGGAGGATGGATGCAGTGTCTTGACCTCTTTCCTGTAGTTGGCATGTGCAGGGGAAATATATCATGGTGGGATACTTTTATTTGGAGGGTTTGGCCTGCAGAGGGCTCAATGTTAAATACCAACAATAAATCAGAAGTTTTCTGGGTATGCAGCTTTGTGGTATGTGGAAAATATTATACGTGATACAGTGGTGAGGCTACAGAAGCAAGAAGATGGGTAATGAGAATCCACTACTGCCATTAATGATGAATTTAGTAGTCAAGTAGTCACACAGTTATTTCTATTGTATATTAAGAGTTTCCAAATATTTTTTTTACCAAATAAAGGCTGAAATAAGTGACTGAAGCCTTCTAGATTGAGAATATTTACAAATAAAGTATAGTATTAATAAAAATCAGAAAAATATTATGAAATTTTGCAATGTTTATTTACATTGCCACTGTGTTTGGGATAAAATGTCTTTTTGCATCTGTTTAAGAGTTTGTATAGTCTAAAATCCAGATAACACTTGCAATAATAATAATAATAAATACAATTAAAATGATTTTTATAGTTGACAAGTCACAATTATTCTGATTAACTGTTGCAGCCCTGACTACTACAAGAAGCAACAACTACTACTACTCCAAACAAACCAAATGTAACTTTATCATATCATAGTATTAATTTTTTTTCTCTCTCTCTTTTTCCTTAGCCAAATACCACATGGTTAAAGAGTGGCTGTATAAAGTTATGTTCAAAGCTGTTGGCCACTGTCCCGTAGACAGGCACAGACCTGCATAACTGATAATGAATGATTGGGTGGGTGTGGATAGTAATCACCTTTCAACCAGCTCTGGTGAAAGAAAGGCAAGAAGAGACGTGAGGGTGCAGGGGAGGGTAAACAGAGTAAAGAGGTAAGACCAGAAGAAGCTAAATGGGAGGAACAGGTTTTCTGAATGAATGGATTAAGTCTTTCCAACACTTTCAAATTAGGTGTATATGTGTCTGGCTATATACAAAGGAAAGATGTGTGAATATTGAGAACAAGCCCATTTTTTAAGACTTCTGCACATAATTCTACATCATGAGGTTACTAGAGTCATTAAACAAACTACCAGAGCATAAAAAGAATCCTAACGTTTTCTATGCTTTCTTAGTGTAAAGAAAAAGAAGAAACAAAAAAGTAAAGCTAATCTTAATCCCACCATCATAAACCACTTAATTCCCCAAGAGATTTCTCTGCAATTTAGCACTGTTACAGTAACAGCGATTGTCATGTTTAATAATCCTCTTAGACTAATGCTTAAAGAGAATCAAACAGCCTATGAAAGCAACAGCTGCAAATAGATGTGTCTTTGTCAAACCTTGCAATAAGTAATTAAGCACAATGTTTTTGCCTGAAGATATCAATTCAAATGATCTGTTTACCATGTAGCAGTGTTTCGCCTAATAATTTGGCATAGGTTTTCTTTATCCCAGATGGTCATCTTGTTGCAACACTTGCCATTATCCACGCTTGGTTTCAAATAATACACATTTGTGCCTCTGGTGGCTGACTCATGTTTTTACAGAATAATTGATGGCTATTTCAGTGTGTAATTACATGTACAATATGTCCCAGACTCAGCTCCAGTGCTCTCCATTGCGAGTTTTTATGGTTTCGTATATTGGCAAATCAATAATCTCCACTGCTCCACTGCTCCAGGGAGAGTGAATTGCACACTCTCACATATTGTTTAGGTGCAATGCTTTGTCATTCTGTTGCCGGCGGTAACATTGAGGCACATTTCATCTTTTGTAGCTACTACCAAAAATCACCTCTTTTCCCCCTCAAATCCCTTGCTTGCTCTTTCTTATATTTATGACTAAAGGGGAATAGAAGCATTTTGACATATCCTCTGGTAAAAAGAGATGTAAGCTGTATAACATATTCACCGATGTACACAAAGTACTAAACTGTACGTTCCCTGTTTTCTGGAGATGTCTCTCTTTTGCAGTTCACAATAGCCACGCTGTATTTTCAAAATGTGGGCCACTGGGATTGAAGTGTGACTCAGCGAGGAGGACTAAGACTTTGGTTACACTGAAAGCTGAGTGGACAGGATTGAAACAGCTGCAGACACAACAAGACCACAGTTGTGTCACTCTGTCTTAAGAGTGTCAGAACCATATGGAGGTTAACTGTTGGGTCATATCACAACTTGTTCTGTTTTATTCAACTGATTGTTACTTATATAATTTGTTCCATTGTCACTATTACTATTACATCTACTTAGTACTCTATACATAGGTTATATGTTGTGCTCACACTTTAGAATATGATGTCATCATAATTTCTCGATAGGAAATTGGTTTCTTTTAAAGCACATCACTAAGTAAAAATCTACAGATAAATATTTTTAGGGACTGGGTCCACAAAATGCCATCTGTTAAGAATCACCAATGTGCTAAATCATTGTAATATGATTGATGATTATGTTAATTGAAGAAAAAATAAACTAACTAAACTAACCTATTTGTTATCACATTATTTATTTATTGCTATTTTATGGCTTTGCTCTTATTTGATTTGACTGGTTTTATTGTTTTAAGACAAGTATGATTAAATCGGAGAGTTTATTTTATTAACAAATTATCTGTGTATTTGCTCAGCTCTTCAGAAACAGTTTTTTTTATGAAATGCTCTATATAAATAAAGTTGACTGGATTGAATTGAATTATGACACGACTTTCTGAAACTATTCTGAAATTTTCAGTTTATGGATGGATAGGCCCAGTTACTCTTCCAAAAAATTCTGACCTCCAGCTCAGTTTTAAACCATAGGCAGCCTAGGTAGGCAGTCTAGACAGTCTATGTTATGATATTAGGTAAACTCAGCGTATTCCATCCATCCAAGATCCTCAACATAATATGCTGGCCTGCTATGTTGTTTTGAATTGACAGGAACAACTGGTAACTGATCACTGGTCCTGAGCTATGTCACCTTTCTTTTCCTGGGGATCATGGGGTCCTCAAACATGAAGTGCGTGCTCTCATGGATGTCTTCGCTGATGTCATCAGTGTTGGACGAGAGCAGGAAGTTCTTGTTTTCATTGGAGAGAGGTGGGGACGGTGTGGAGGGCACCGATTGGTCACTGGCATCCCAGCTCCAGTTGCCGCTGGTGGAGCTGCTGTAGCTGGCAGAAAGCACCTCTTTCCATCCTCTGCTCGCCGGTTCTGGTACTGATAAAAATCAATTCAAAAGTTATCAACAACTCATCTTTTCATCTCTGGAAAGGTACTTATTTACAGGTCACTACTTTTAGGCTTACACCAAATATATTTCATAATATATATAGACTTTTTTAAATAACTGGTCCTAAATTTAGCACAGCAGTGTCAACACTGCAGCAATAATAGCCTTGCTAAGACTGGGTAAAAATACAGAGAGAACTTTGACTGTCTGTGGAGCTTGGCATGGTAAGGGTGACCACAGCAATTCTAGGGTGGCAGAGGGAGTGTCAAGGCTACATGTTTGGCACTAAACACATGTAAGTTTACCCTTGACAGATTATATGCTAAGATAAAACTAAAGCCTATTTCGCTGCCTAGTGTAGCTGTATGTTACAGTATGTTGATGTTGGCGTGCTATTACCTGTAGGAGCAGAGGAAGGCTGGAGCACCATTGGTGAAGTGGATAAAGAGGTCAGGACGGTTGCTGCCATCACCTCCTTATCGGCATGGCCCGACGGCTTCCTGCAAAAACAAAAGAAAAATCACATTCCGTAAGTAAAGTGTCTGTGACTGAAGAATCTGCTTTGATGAGCAGCAAAATGTCTTCACTCTGAAAAAAAACCCAACCTTTGTCCAGTTGATAGAATTCATTTTCTTTTGCCAATAAGTAAGGTGTGTGTTAATAAAACGTAACCCATTATTCTGGTTACATCTGTGATAAAGATGTGAGGGCACTAAACTAATCATGAACTGCAAAATTGCTGCTTAAATGTTAAATGAAATAAAAACAAACCCATATGATCTGAACCCAATAGAAACTGATGTCATCAGGACTAACAGAAGAACCCAGACTTGAATAAATGCTTTGTTATATTATGTTTTACAAATATATATTGACGGCATCAGAAACACACACAGTAATTCATTAAAACTCAAATAATTTACTCAGCTCTAATTGCATGACACTTACCCTGTTAAAAGGCATGTACTGTTAACGGCACCTTTAAATACTTGTAGAATTTTACACACTTAACACAAAAAGCATAAAAGCATAACAAGGCATTAAATCACACCTAGACTTTTACACAGCGTGAAACCAATACACAATGGGACTCAGTATTCATAAAGCTTGTATGTGCTCTGCAGCTTTAAGAGGTCCTCGTCCCGCCTCCAGACTTCACAACCAGAGTGAACTGGTTTGAGGCATTCTCTGAGCCAAGCCCTAAGCCCTGGCACTCATCCACTCACAGTCTCCACACACACACCAGTCAAAAATTTCACTCTGGAGCCCACAAACATGCAGACATTATACTGCAAACCATGACCAAAACATACATGTAGGAACTAAGCTGTTTTAAAAAACATTTTAGTTGAAAGAGGTGCTCCCACGCTGATAAAAATGTGTTGGAAAGGAAGGCCAACTGAAGAATGCAGCAAAAGATATGAAGGAGGTACTATGTTGCTTGCTGAAATTAGGCTGCTTTTGACATCTTGAAAAGCACATGCAAAATGCTGTAGAAAACTAAAAATCTGACATAGTAGTACTTAATAAAAAGTAATGCTAACAAATTTATAGCACTGCTTTCAACTACTACTACTACTACTGCCACTAGTAGTAGCATACTAGTACTAGAGTGACATGCTACTTCACCTCAAAAAGCATATGACTAAACATAAATAAACACTTTCACACAGACCATATTAATCAACATGGTTAAACAAACAGTATTTACCCACACACAGTGTGGCATTAGTGTGTGTATGAGAAAGGAGAGCTAACATGATTAGCTGTGTCCTGTTTCACTCATTAGCTGGGCTCAAACCTGCACTTTTGATATCACTCTGTGTGTATGTGTGTGTTTCATCTGACAAGCCTGTTTTACAAAGGACTGAGTTACACAAAGCTTTTGTTAAAGGGCCCATATTACGCTATTTTCTGATGTATGCTGTAATGTTGTTTCCTCACACATAAAAAAACACCCCTGGAGTTGTGTTTTTTTCCATTCACACATATTTAACACACAAACCCCGCATATTTAGGCTGTGATTTTTTTCTCCACTGTGTTTTAAACTCCATACACCTTCACTAGGACTGGGTATCATTAAGAAGTTGCCAATACAATATATATCTCGATACAGTTTCGATACGATACGATATTTATTTAAGACTAAATCCTGGCTGTGATACTAAAGTCTTTGTTAAACCACATCCTGTGCAAAGTTCATATAAAAAACTTCAATTTTTATCATCAAAACAATGACTATGTTAAATGTGTTGCATAAACAAGTTTCCTTCCACTAAACGAGCAACACTGTAGCGCTGTAACAAAATAATTAGTAAAATACACCAAAAACACGGTGATATATCAATACAGCAGCCCACGATATCGATACTGTATCATCACATTAAACAATATTTTTGCACACCCCTAGCATTTACTAGAATCATCTGGATTATTTCAGATGTGGAACTGACAATCTCTACTGAACAAATGGTAAAAGGCAGAAGCTAATTTGAAACGTACCGCTTCTTCACATCACAAGGTGAAACAGAGTATTTTAAGCTTTGGGGATGTAGACAGACTAATAATAACAAGTGTGAATGAAATAAAGCACATCTCTGGTTATGTTTTTAATGAGGGAACATCATTATAGCATGTCGAAAAGCTCAGAGGAGTCAGTTTTGTGTAATATGGGACCTTTAAACCATCAGCTGTAATATGCTGCGCTGACAGCTCTTTCTGGCACACGCACACATCCCAAACACTAGAAAAAAGCTCGGATTCCCTAAACATTGCGGGCTTCCTGACATTGAGTTTTTTCCTTCCCGTAGCTTCCCGGCAGAGAGTGATACTCCATAACAGCTTTTTCACATCTGCGGTGTGAGTCGTACGCTGTCTCGTGTGGATGTGCTTTGAGTAATACACTGTAAAAACACATTTCAGACAGTTGAAGAGTACATGGAGTCAATGTACTGTAATACAAGACGGGGGAAATTCAATTACTATCAAATAACTTTGATATCTGTGTTACTGTTTACTCCAGACTGAACAGATGGCTGCTGCACAAGGCTATTGTAAACCAGCCAGCAATGATAGCCACATTGTTATTGCTTAACTAGAGTTTTTAAAGATAGTTCTGATACTTAAAATGTAAGCTTTTTAATATTCAAACCTGTCAAACAGCCTAACCCTTCATGAATACTACTAAGTGTGTGTATTATCTGTGTATTGAGGCTTTTCCAACTTAAATGTTCTGATTAGCCAGATAAATACTTTATTGATCCAGAAGGAAATTCAATTAATATGGTTGGTGACAGATTTGTGACCCAGTTTACTGTACTTCAGGTTGACTGGAGCTCTAAAGTACGTGCACAAACAACACTCTCACACACCCCTAACTTTCTTTCCTCCCTTGTCTCGCACTGGCCTTGGCCCGGCCGAGAACCCTCCTCTCTGGCAACGGTACAGCACATAGGCAAGCTAAAGTCAACAAGCTGAGCACGGGCACATACAAAAGCAGGGAGACAGAGAGAGGGAGAGAGAGGGAGAGAAAGAAAGAGGGGGGAGAGAGACAGAGAGAGGGAGAGAAAGAAAGAGGGGAGAGAGAGACAGAGAGAGGGGAGAGAGGGAGAAGGAGAGAGAGGGGTGTGTTAGGGTTAGGGACATGGGGGGGAGAGGGAAAGGCAGAGCAGGAGAGGGCGGGAGAGACAGGAAGAGGGAGGACAGAGAGCGGGGAGAGAGAGATGGGGGGAGAGAGAGAAAGCGAGATAGAGAGAAAGAAAGGGGGAGAGGGAGATAGAAAGAAAGAAAGAGGGGCAAGCGGAAGAGAGAGAGGGACAGGCAGAGCAAGAGAGGCAGGAGAGAGAAAGACATAGAGAGAGATAGAGAGAGAGAGAGGGGCACTCAGATCCCAGCCAAGGGGTGAGGGAGAGCGGACGGGAGAGAGAGGAAAAGGCAGAACGAGAGAGAGAAGGGAGAGGGAGGAGAGAAAGAGAGAGGGCAGAGAGAGTGAGCGGGATAGAGAGAAAGAGAGAGGGGACAGAGAGAGCAAAAAGGATATAGTGAGATAGAGAGAGAGAGTGAGATAGAGAAAGAAAGAGAAGGGGGATGGAAGGGAGAAGGAGAGACAGAAAGAGAGAGAGAGAAAGAGAGGCGCTCAGACCCCAGCCAAGGGGTGAGGGAGAGCGGACGGAAGAGAGAGGAAAAGGCAGAATGAGAGAGAGAAGGGAGCGGGAGGAGAGAGAAAGAGAGTGAGATAGAGAGAGAGGGAGGTAGAGAGAAAGAAAGGGGGATGGGAGGGAGAAGGAGATGCAGAGAGAGAGAGCGAGGGGGGTTAAAGAGAAAGAGAGAAAGAAAGAAGGGACAGAGAGAGTTAGAGGGAGATAGAGAGGGAGATAGAGAGAAAGAAGGGGGATGGGGGTGGCAGCAAGAAGGAAATACAGAGAGAGAGAGAGACAGTGAGAGAAAGAGAGAGAGAGAGAGACTCCAGCCAAGGAACAAGTAGCAACGACACACGTCTGTTGAAAATGACAAACTATATGAAACAGGTGGCCAAACATGTATGGCCTTTAAGTGAACTGCTATTAATATGTTGAGCAAATAGAGTGTGTACAATTCCCAAGACATCAAATTTTAAAAATCAGTCAGCTAGGTCATTATCCAGCCCTCATCACCATTTTCACTATGGTGGGTTTATTACTGTTGTTGGGGAGACTTTCTGGTCTTCCCTCTATATTTATCGTCGCACCTCTGCTCCAATTACAAACTCCCCTGATACCACATCATGTACCAATGGTTTTCATTTTCTATATATGCATCATACAAGAATGTGGGCTTTACAATACACATATTTTAAGGCATGTCACTTTTATACTACAGGCTCTTGTACGTAAGTTAGTATGAGCGCAAACCCCCATTTTCTGATTTGAGTTTTCAAAGACTATACTATACTATACTATACTTTAGGCTTTTTAATACTCAAATCAAATGGTCTAAAACTATATTGTATTGGTGATGAATTGTGTATTGGGGCTCTTAAATATTTCAGTATGCTTTCTTTTTTATGTCGCTTTGCATTTTTGTTATGGCATTATTTAAAAGTATATCTAAACTCCAATAAAAATGTTAGATCAACCAGCTCTATTTGAATTCAATATGTCTGACCACAGTACTTGCCCCCATTTTGTGTTGAAATGAACGATATTTGTTCAGTCTTCCACATCTCACTTTCTCTGTGGGTGTATCCCTGCAACAATAATCTCTAATATCCCTCTCGGACTCTATGCTGCTGGCTTTAAATAGAACTTATCCATTCAGTGTGATCATGTGACAGACATGATCCCAAACACAAGCATCAGGGAGCACTGGGGCCTATCTTTATGCACCGTCTGTATGTACTGACTGTTCTCGTGTGCCAACTTCCTCACTCCTAAAACAGCTGTGATAGGGGCACACAACGTGACTCTGGTCATTAAACAAAGTCACAAGTAAAGTAAGTAAACAAAACTGCTTTAGCTTAAC